TAATAATGATCCCAGGTTTCAAAGGGGGGGCGGGCCGCTGGAGTGGGGCTCCAAGCAGAGAAACAAACTTGCTAGCTCAACCATGACAGGGTTTCAGGCTCTCCAAATATCTCCCAGGCTGTGGGGATCCTATGGGCACATACCACGTTAGGTTCAGCCCCACGTGTGCTTGTAAAAGAGGCACCCCTAAGATAACCAGAGACCTCGCTTCCCAAGGAGGCGATCTGGGCGGGACCTCTTTTCAGCCAATAGGCAGAAGGGCCGGGTTGAATGCTACTCCGCAAAAAAGGGTAAAACTGCCCTTCCAGAAAGATGACGGGAATGTTAGGCCGAAGGCTAAGCTCAGAGTCAAACTCTCTGCAAGGGTCCGCTTTCTCTGCCCAGGGAATCCCCCGGGTCCCGCGGTGCAAGCCCCCCTCCCCGAGAGAGAGAGGCTGATCGCTTCAGCAACCACTCGGTCTCAGGGACTCCTCAGTGCTGGCCCCTGCCAGGACGACAGGATCCTTTTTAAGGAGAAAGGCGGGCTAGAAAGATTTTCAATAAATAATAAATAAAAATACTCCTTGTTTTCACTCCTGTTCAACCACGTTTACTCAACCGCTTCCCACTATCCCCACTTCCTTCCTTCCAAACAGGATGCAAACAAGCCCCATTCAGAAGATATGGACAGCTGACTGCCCAACTGTCAAGTCAACAAATGCTCCATAAGACTATTTACGACCAGACTCACATACACACACATAAAAAAATCCCCAAACACTCCCCACCCACTAAAAATCCCACTGGAAAACATAAAACAAACTCAGGTCAACCTGGGTCAGGGGGGACCAATCTGTGGATCGGAGAGTCTTAGACCAGAAAACTGAGGGGGTCATGAAAAGGGTGACCTTTCGTTTCTCCCTTCTCTGGCTCATATCCACAGTGAAGGAGAGGCCATTCAATCCATACACTGGTTACTACTGGCAAAACCGAGGTGCCTACAAATGGCGACAAGGGGCAGAAGATTTGGGATGGGAAGCTTGGGGGGGGGCGGTTTAAGTCCCCGAGCGCGGAAAGTCCTGCTTGGATTGTCTGCGGCTCCCACGGCCGGTTTCACAGGAGACATCGCAACAGATCAACACTGCATGTCAGAGAAGACACCAAAGGGCATGTGGCAGAGACTACGAAACACATCGCCTGCCCATTAGAGGACACGGCGAGGGTTAAAAAGGATCCCCGACCTATGATCCCAGGTTTCAAAGGGGGGCAGCCGCTGGAGTGGGGCTCCAAGCAGAGAGACAAGCTTGCTAGCTCAACGCTGACAGGGTTTCAGGCTCTCCAAATCTCTCCCAGGCTTTGGGGATCCTATGGGCACATACCACGTTAAGTTCAGCCCCACGTGTGCTTGTAAAAGAGGCACCCCTAAGATAACCAGAGACCTCGCTTCCCAAGGAGGCGATCTGGGCGGGACCTCTTTTCAGCCAATAGGCAGAAGGGCCGGGTTGAATGCTACTCCGCAAAAAAGGGTAAAACTGCCCTTCCAGAAAGATGACGGGAATGTTAGGCCGAAGGCTAAGCTCAGAGTCAAACTCTCTGCAAGGGTCCGCTTTCTCTGCCCAGGGAATCCCACGGGTCCTGCGGTGCAAGCCCCCCTCCCCGAGAGAGAGGCTGATCGCTTCAGCAACCACTCGGTCTCAGGGACTCCTCAGTGCTGGCCCCTGCCAGGACGACGGGGTCCTTTTTAAGGAGAAAGGCGGGCTAGAAAGATTTTCAATAAATAATAAATAAAAATACTCCTTGTTTTCACTCCTGTTCAACCACGTTTACTCAACCGCTTCCCACTATCCCCACTTCCTTCCTTCCAAACAGGATGCAAACAAGCCCCATTCAGAAGATATGGACAGCTGACTGCCCAACTGTCAAGTCAACAAATGCTCCATAAGACTATTTACTTATTTATTTATTATTGAATTTATATCCCAGGAGTCTACTCAGGGTGGCTCACAATACATTACACACAAAACAGATTTAAAATCTACAATACAGTGGTGACCCGCATAACGAGCGATTCGTTTAACGACGAATCCGCATAGCGATGTGTTTTTTGCGATCGCAAAAGTGATCACATTGCGATGTTTTAAATGGTAAAACATCACTTTGCGATGATCGGTAAGCGTTTCACTTACCGATTTTCGCATTGCGATGTTTTTTCTAACAGCTGATTGGCGGTTCCAAAATGGCCACCGAGTAAATAAAATGGCTGCCCGCTGTGTTTTCGCGCCCTTTCCTTGCTTACCAGGCAGCGAAAATGGTGGGCGCATGGAGGATCTTCGCATAATGGTGACTTTTTTGCCCATAGGAACACATTAAACGTGTTTTAATGCGTTCCTATGGCCTTTTTTGCCCCGCATAGCGACAAATCCATATAGCGACGATTTTTCCGGAATGGATTATCGTCGCTATGCGGGGCACCACTGTAATGATATAATCAAGATGGGAGGATAAACAACAAAAAACAAAAAAAAAAGTCAAAATCATGTATTGGCAGGAGGGAAGACCTGCCTAAAGAGCCAAGTTTTTAATTGGCTCTTGAAAACACCCAGCGAGGGTGCCAGGCAGATCTCTGGCGGCAAGCTATTCCAAAGTCGAAGATGAAAAGGTAAGATAAGGCCAGGGAGACTGAATCTTTTCCAAAAGGACCTCTGTGCATCTTTGGCAAAAAGTTCTGGGCTTCCAGGACCAGCTGGCTGGCAGAACCCTCCGTGGAGGGCAACCATTATGCCAGCATGACAGACTTGATTGTGTCCCTCTGGCGTGCCAGCCACATTTGCTGCAGGTGCACCAAAATGCTTTCCCTGACTCCAGCTGACACACCAAAAGGGACTTCCTTTAATGTTCTGCATCTCAACTGCACAAAATTCCTTCAATAATGTTCAGAGAAGAGCGAGCACCGGCCAGATAGGAAAGTCACAATGCTATGACATCCAGATACCCTTCACCGCTTGAAGGAGCCTCCCATCTAACAAAAGGTGCCAAGCTCACCTTGATCAGGGTTGAGCCCAACAGCCTGAAAAGTAGTTCCATCCCAGCCTGGCTTTTTTGGAAGGAGGCCTTAAGGCCACCTGGGTGGAAGTTCAGACCCATGTCCCCTGTGCCACTGAGAGAGCAGCCTGAGCTTATGCCTTTCCTTTCTACCCAGCCTTTGACCCCACACAGAAACCCATAGCCACCCTCTGCCTGAGAAGCCTGCAGCTCTAATATATATAGGTCCTTTCTGTTGGCAGGGAGCAAAAAGAGGAAAGTCTGGAGAATCTTCATTGGGCAGAAGGTGGACAGCTCTTTTGGCTAGCTTCTGTTTAGGGCTAGCGGTGAAGATTCTGTTCTAGAAATGAAACCTCTCGTAAAATCAGAGGCTTTACAAATGGGGGAAAAACACAAGCAAAGCACTGTCAAAGTTGCAATTAACTTTTTTCATCTTAATAAAGCTATCCCTAGGAAATAGTTGCATGGATCATTCACATGCGTGTAGGCACACACACAAGCTTCCCATTAGCTAAAATTAGGATATTAAATAGCATGAAATGTCTCCTACGGTATTTATAAACACTGCAAAAACTTTCCAAATAAAACTTTGCATTTTTATTATATCACTCAAACCACGCTGGATGTGCTTTTCAAATCCCCACCCAGAGCCCGTCAATAAAACCTTTTCAACTGCAGTGTTTTGGCCCCTGGAAAATGTTTTGAAAGAGAGAGGAGTGGAAGGCTTTCCAGAGCACGTTTGTTTGTGAAGCCTTCCAGCAGCCCTGTGT